GTTTTTGTGGCACTGGCGCCTAATTGAAGGTGGCGCTTAACTGAAGACAAATACGGTAATATAAAGTTGATGTAACACTTTTCATTGCAGATAGATTGCCTATCCTGGTCAGAAATGGAGATGCAATGGAGAATGGATAAATATTAAATACAGTATTTCCTCTCTGAGATTCACATCTCCAATAGAAGGACACAAAAATTGCATTTTACATAAGCTGGATCATTAAAATATGACTTATTTTGAAAATAGACATACCTCAGTCATTTACGTAAATGTATGCAGTACTAGGAGGGCAAATACTGCATATGGGTATTATTTTTCTACAGCTTAATTTAAAGCAAGAACTCAAATTTTTTGTATTTATACCTGATTGTACTCCTTGAAGGTATACTTGCAAAAGTAGACAATATTGATATCCACTCTATACCACGTAGATATCACTTTTATTGAAAACATGCACACATAATTGTATACAATTATAATATTATGTCTTTACTCTAATACTAGTGAAACAAACTGCATGCAATTGATCAGAAGAATGTATTGGAAAACAACTTACCTCCACTGGTGGACCAGATGCCTGTAGAACTGAAGAAAAAATGTAATGTTTTAGAATCAATTTCCTACCACTTCATTGACACTACACAAAACAAGAAGTCATACGAAACAAGAGCACTTGTAAACTCATTTATTTTATTTTTTTATATAAGCTAATTTTTCAGCAAGGTTCTAGAAACTAGAAAGTGAATTATAGAGAATGTACTTTACACCTTGAGCTCCAAATTCAATGCTTCTCACCTTTCACAAAAAATACACATATTTTTTTTTAATAGGAAAATATGTCTATTCAAAATAAAATTAACAAAGAAATAATAGTAAGATAGTTATAAATATGCCAAATATTGAGCCACAATCTTTGTTGAAAATGTTATGGAATACCATAATTAAATGCATGCCACATAATTGAGATTTACTAAATTCAAAATTAGTTTGATAGAAAGCTGATGTTCTGGTAAAAATTTACTGACATTAAATAATCAAACCATGTACATGAACCATGCTGTGAAAACATCACACAATGGAAGCATACCCTATGGCATTGGAAGCATACCCTATGGCATTGAAAGCATACCCTATGGCATTGGAAGCATACCCTATGGCATTGGAAGCATACCCTATGGCATTGGAAGCATACCCTATGGTAGCATTCTTACACATAGGATCAGTTCATAAAATTAGAAGTCCCATAATCACATTTCCATACTAGCATACACATATGGTATTCATAGTTACACATACTTTTTAATTCCTCCTTATTTTTTTCACTGGCAGCATTATCAACCCGAAGCTGTCGTCCATTCAATTCATAACCACTCAGATTTCTCATAGCACTGAGTGCTGTTTCTTGGTCTTTATATTCACAGAATCCATATCCTTTAGGTTTACCAGTCTCTCTGTCATATACCAATCTGTAATACAATGTCACATATTTGAATTTCATAATCATAATAAATACTTGTCCTAAGATCAAATATAATAATTGTATTATAACAAGACATGAAATGACATAGTCAATGTCATTTTTACTGAAAGATTTTAACAGCTCAGACATATTGTTTTGTTATGCCACAGATTTGGACTAAATCCATCAATAAATACCTGAAATATGGATGTTGTTGCACTATTTATAAATGTATTCTGAATGATACTTGTATGACAGGCATAATATAAACGGGAGTCAATTGTGCATACGTGATATTCTTCATTATATTGCACTTGTACAGTTGTATTACAAACATAATCCAAACTAAAGTCAGTTGCAGCTAATGTATTAATTATTCACTGGATTTTGAATTTCAATATTTTTGCTGATCAGTAAAATCTGCTAAAATAAATCTACGTGCACATGTAAAATAACAATAAAACTCATTGTTTCCTTGACAAATTCATGAATATAAAACACTGTGAATATGCTCAAAACATCAGAATAGTGAAATTAATGTCAGTGAAAATAATTAGTTTTATAGTATTTTGAATGCACAAATGAAAATATTTGATTTTGTTGCATTTTTAGGCTCAGAATGGCTGCCAATCAGCCATCTTGCATAAAAAAATTATGCAAATAGACATGCATATGTGCTATATAATGTCTGATATACATATATGTGTGATGTTTGAAGCCATGTCCAAAATATGGATCCTGAACTGCATTCTTCACTACAAAATGGCCATCCATCAGCCATTTCAACAGATCCAAAAAAATAAAGCGACAAGCATCAAGGGTTCAATGTATGTACCAAATTTAAACCAAATCTTTTCCCACATGACTGAGATTCAGTTTTAGAATGGTGAAAATGTGTGATTTTGATGCAATTTTAACTTTAAAAGGGCTGCAATTCAGCCATCTAAAATTAGATTACGACACAAATGCTTATGTAAATGCATGGCATATGTGGAATGTTTGAACTTGATTGGTCCAGGCATATCAGAAATATGGATCTGGAACTGCATTCTTTAATTCAAAATGGCTGCCAGTCGGCCATGTGTTAAGGTTGAACTTAATAAATGCGGGTATTTGTGCGAGATACAACTGAACACAAACACATAGACGAATACAACACACTATTGCACTGATTAAGTGGGAATGAGTGAGAAATATTCTTGTCTACCCTTGCAGATCTTTGAGATGAGAACTCAAAATAAGTAATTGTTATTAAAATGAATAGAACTCTTATCGGAAATGACTGGACACATGATAAAATCACAGAAACCCTAGAAAGAGCTTTCATGTGCTGACAGTAGTAGAGGCATGATGTACCATACTCGTTTGACTTAGTGCCTTTCATTGTTACCATTTTACTGTGAAAGGCAGTAAATACATGATTCCATATTCAAATGCTAATTAACATTTAAAAAAAATTTTTTTACTGTTTTTGCTGAAATCAACATCGATAATTTACCAGATGCCTTCAGGAATTCACACAGAAATGTGTTCTGATTGGTTAATAACAGACTTGATCACTCAGGTCAAAGGAAAGTTTTGCAGGTCAAATCGTGCAAGAAAACATGGCGAAAATTGCTTCGCATCAATAGCTACAATAAAAAAAATTTCCAGATATAATGATGAATCTCTTAACTTTGACTGTTTCCTCATCGATAATAAATGGTAGTTAAATGCTGATGATATATAAATAATATTGTAATAAAATGTGCAAATTTTTTGGGATCATTTCTGTTTCATCATTGTGAAAATCAATGACAAATCCCACCAAAAAACAGACATACTATTCCCCCTATGGTGACGTAAAATTGTTGATTGGCCAATTTTCTGAGTGGGGTTCTTAACTAAGCATGCCTCGGCTAAAAAAAACACAATTTTGTGAACTAATTACCCACGAGTGTGGTATGTTTCATTGAAATCTGACAAGTGGTTCTTGAGAAATACATACAGACATAAATACATACATGCATATATATTGGGTACATACATACAGAGCACTGACAGGGTAACTGCAAAGACTCCTAATTGTGCTTCACACATGGGAGTCAGTACAAATAAGTAATAAATACCTAAAACTGACAACGGGACCAACTTCTGAGAAGATATCTTTTAATTGTTCTTCTGTTGCTTCATAAGGAATGTTACCAACTGAAAAATTTTAATAAATACAAAATCATAATCTAGGCATCTATTGCATACATGTACCATGACTCTCACACAAATATGAATACATGGTTCAGCAATCACATGTAAGAATATTTCCAGTATTTTGTTGTCAATTGCAAACTCAAATTGTAACAATTACTTTGCCTTGTAGTGTACATGTATATGATAATGTAATGTTGCTATAAAATAACATTTTACAAAATTGCTCTCATGGCTTAATTGTCAAAACTAGTATATGAAGGCAAGAATCATGTATCAACTATCATGATCGATTTTTTTAAGAAATGCTGTATTGATATGATTATGAATCACAACAATCATGTCCATATTATGGAACATTGTAGTTTAATTGAAAGGGTTATTATTCACGAATGAAGAAATAATTAACACACATGAACGTAAAATAAACTGTAAATAATCTGGCTTGCGATGAATGAATGAATATAGACGAAACCGATCCCCTATTTCTGGTTGTGTCCCTCCACCAAATCGTGATTGCGATTAAACATGCCGCGCATGTCACTAAATATTGTTGCAGTTATGTCAATCGCATCACTCTAAAACATATTGCCTAAACACTATCATAATCCTGGCCACCCTCAAGCATTAAACGTAAATACAGGTTATTTAACTCACCGAAAACCGATCTTAAAGATCGATCAGTGGCAGCACTTTGTCCAACAGCCGACATTTTGTTGTGAACATGTGTTGGTACTTCTTTCCTCAAACAAGTGCCTCGGTTTTAGAGCAGCGCCCTCAACACAATGCAGACAACCATATCATTTTTTGTTTTGGGGTGATTGCTCGTTTTAAAAATATATTTTTGTTGGATTGAATAAGCCGAATCTAGAATTAGGTCAATGTCTATGTAACTTATTTTTGGTGTATTATTACATAATATTTTTTATTCAATGATAACATTTTAAATTTTTTTTTTAACTTATTATTATATTAATATTATTATCCTCATTAAAGTTACTACCACATTGTGTGCACATGGTGCATGAATCAGGTCATTCTTATGTGTTCCACAATGCATACATGATAGTATCGTGGTATAGATGGTACAAAGTGCTCGTCGACCTGCGATATGTTATGTTGTTGACATTGACAAGTCTACAACTACACACCTAAACACACCCACTTAGAGAGAGGATTCTTTGAACTGCATGTTCAATTTATGTATATTACACAGAAAGCAAAAATTGTGTTTATTGAATGCAAAATCATTGAAACATATTATATTTAGACAATAGACTTGACTTTGTCATTTATATTTACAGTAAGCACTAGTGCGTCTATTAAATAGAGCAAAAACAGCATTCTAAAATATAACTGCAAGCAGTAATTCAAGTGGTTCCAAGTGGTAATGGTATTACAATTACAAATATTTAATGAAATCATGACCATATATTAGGATAAAAATATTATAGCATGTTACATTTACAACATTGCTTAGAATATCACAGTAATATGCATATAATTGAGGTCACATGACCATATATGGTCATCTAATATGTATCACATTCCTTGTCAAATACCACATTAGTTGCGTGTCCTTATACCTGCAACTGTGTTTGAGATATTAGTTATGCATAGAAAGGAAACATGAAACTATTTATACAAAGTAGGTTTCAACCCTGAAGTAATCAGATCTGTGGATTATCCCCAAACACCTATAAATTGGTTAAATTATGCAAATTAGGTAATTAGTAAGCACAAAATTTAACCTTAACACAAATGTGTATGACTTATCCCAGAGCATACATGTACCAAGTTTCCTTAAAATCTGAAAATGCTTAAAATTGGCTAATTACTATACAAATTAGGTAAATATGCACAAACTGCAATCAAAAACTAATCAGGCCTGAGCATGATAATTGGTATCAGTGGAAGAGACACACATACACACATACAGACAGACACACTAACTGCAAAGACTCCCATTGTGTGCTTTGCACTTAGGAGTAAAACAGAAATTCACACGTAAACATGCATCTTATCCATCACAATTTATTAAGTTTAAACTACAATTTGTACAGGATATGTCAGGTAAAGACTAAGATCAGTGATCGCTAAGGCAGATGTAAGTTACACTGTTACATAGCATTGGTGAGGAGGTGTTAGAATGCACATTAAACTCTGCTAAATAAAATATAACTCAATATGAACACATGATGTAAATTTTTATTTTGCACAAACCCTTAAAAAAATCATACATCTTGGTACTTCCTTTGGGTGTGATAATTTCTGTCAATTTTTGCAAAGTTGAAATGATTTTAAACTTCAATGACAAATGCTCACATTTTGTAGGAAAAAAAAAATAAGAAATAAAACTATGTTAAGAAATACTCTTTGTTAGAATTTGTATTCCTCAAAAGTACCAGGATGTGTGACCTTTTTTAGGTCATGCTTACTGAATGTTCTCACAAGTTGATATCAGTTTATTTATATGCTAGGTTTGATAAGCAGAGTACTGTACTTGTGGGTGTGCCAGTCTAAATATTATGAAGAATTATTATTATAACATCTAATAAAAGATGGATTTGCAATGGTAATAATATACATACAAAATTTTATTTGAAGTATTTTACTTTATGATTTTGGAACAAGGAATATAACTCAATATGTGAATAAGTTACTTAATTATGGTCGGTCTGATGTGAAAGGAACCTTTACAGATCTTGCGATCTCAGAAAACTGGTGTAACAAATCTGAATTGATTTGATGCACCAGTTTTAGTGAAATAAGATTCGTGCACTGAGACAGATGTGACAAAACCTCACAATTCTCTTAACTATTGTATGTGCTTTTAACTTGTATACACCATCCATATGTTGTCTCATACTGTAAATAAATTAATTATTCACTGGGTTTTAATTTTGCTTATTTCGCTGACTGGAAAATGCGCTAAATTAAAACCCAGTGAAAATATGTAAAATTTAGCATAGACACATTATCTAAATGATAAAACCATGAATTTAAAACCCAGTGGAAATTAGTCATTTTACAGTAATCAAGAGTTCTTGTTTTACAATTTGGATGGATGCAATTCAAGCAGCAGTGATAATGTACAGCCATTTGAGATAATACAATACAATAAAGGTATCCACATGGAAGGAAATCCAGCACGTGAAACAATTCTTTTATATAAACTTGCAATATGGATAAAAATAATAATAGTATCTGTACATTTGTGATGAAGCTCACTTGAGTATCAATCTGAACAAACTTAAACAGTTATACTTATTGCTGCAGACACGGAATAGATTTCAATTGACAGATTACATTCAATATCCTACAAGATTACTGCAATCGCTTTAATTTTGTCGGATGAATTTTTGCAACTTTCACGAGTTAGGGAAAATCATGACATTTTCTAGCAGTGAAAATTTTATTGGAGGTTACGTCAGTGACGCTTTGTCTTCACAATAGCATCAAATGTGAATATTCTCAGCAGCAAAAACAAGCCTAAAGTAGTTTAATTTTCTGAAATGCAAATTTTTATAGCGTAATAAGCTGGATACACTGGGTTTACATGAATGTTTATAAGCGCAATTTTTATTCAGATTGGTTTTAAAGCATTATTGGGGTCTATGACATGCATATGGTATGAATATGCAAAAATTCAGACATAATAGTACCAAGACCACAATAACTAACTTTAATCCCACAATTTTAATTCCTATATAGTTGTATATTGGGTTTTAATGTCGTTTATTTTGCCAAGAGCGAAATGCACTAATTAAAACCCAGTGAATATGAAAAATGAACAATGGAACTATTGTTTTTGTCACAAACCAGTGAATATTTCTTCAATCCACTAAAATTAAACTCATTAAATATTCATTTTTCTACATTTCCTATCAGATTGTTCTCCAAAGCAAGGATGACAAACCCCTATTCCAACATGGTTCACAAGGACCATATTGAAAGATGTCATGTATTCAATTGCCAAAATAAAGACTTGTAAAAAATTCACAAATTGATAAATTGTGTTTTTTGGTTTTTATTTCAAGATTTAATACATTGGTTAAATCCATTTTTAATGATGAAAATGGGTGAAAAAGCTTAAAATAAGGCAAAATGTGTGAATGAGTGGCTAACCAAAAAGTGGGGCTCAGCTCAGAATGGGTTGGCAAGATCAAAATGAATGGCTATGCTTTATGTAATGTGTGGATTGATATGGTATAGCCTCATAGTGCAATCAAAAACTATAAAAATAACATTTTTTTATTCTAACTTTTACTGGTAAAGACTTAACATTTACTTGTAGGGAACAGCAAAGAGGACGGTGTAGTGAAAAGCAGCTAAGAGCTTCTAAGATGCATTACACCAGTAAAATACAAAACCAATAGCATGTACTAGACAAAATAAAATAAATGCTTTTTAAGATACATATAAATCATACACATCAAGGTTATTTTTCACAGTAAAATGTAAAAGGCCTTTACAGCTTTATTCAAAGAATTTACACCAACATATTGAGATTGCGTAGTTAGCTAATGACACTGATGAGAACCTGCAGGTCTTCCTTATTTACATGTTACTGGTATATTTTATTCGTTAAATACCTGAGATTGCTAAACAATCTAGTTTTAACCAGTCTAGGCAGTCTAAACAAGTTCTGATTTGTCCAACATACAGTTGTGATAATTGTCAGCAACCTAGGCAGACCAAACAAGTTTGATTTGATCTGAAGTAGCATTGTGAATTGTATCCAGCCAAGGTAAGGTAAGTTTTTAAATGCAGTGCCATATCACTTTCAACCAGTCTTCACAAAACGAAAGAAAATTGTGCCTTGCCATGGATCAACCTGAATCAAGGTTTCTTCAGTGAAAGACTCGCCAGATAGCACTGGAATTAGATCAAATCATCTTTGTTTTTTGTGTAAATTAAGGCTGAATAGTTTGTTTTAGCTATCATGGAATCAACAGAGAAGGTGGGGGTGAATCGACGTAGATTTAACTTTGGTCAGCATTAATGTGCAGTTTTTTCAGATATTTTACTATACCAGCTCCAGCTTTGTATTGAGCATGTTGATTCTACATTCTGCATGCTATGTTTAAAAGTTTACAAAATGTTCTCGATTCATATACATGCTGGACAAAATAAAATCCTGATATCCATACAGCCTAAACGAATGACTGGTTATAAAATAAATACCACTCAATTTCCTGTTGCAGAATGCACTTGATAATGTAGCAGCCAAGGTCAAAATTTGTCTATTCTTACATATTGCTATGTGTTTAATTACATGCAAGTTCATTCTCTGAATTGAAAGGATGGTTGATGTACCTTTACAAATTGAGACATACAGATAGACTGAACAGAGCATGTGAGCTAATACTTCAAATAATGGATAACAGTATGTTCCTTGCACATGCAGCTAATATTTACTACAGAAGCGAAAGTGCTACTGGACCATTTTTTGTGGCGTGAAAATTTACATAGTTACCAAATGAAATCTCGGCAATATATCCAGATTATTATGATGAGGGAAGGAATTCACTAAACCAAGGCCACTAGAACAGTGTGGCCATATTTCACTGATCTTCGTTATTTGACATGCTCCTAATTATCAACACCAGATCTATTTGAGGACATGTGATTAACAATGTTGCAATCACTTTGTGTAATTTTAGCTGTTCATTTTGAACAATGGCAGCCATTCTAGTTGTACAGCAAAATGATGATTTGTAAATGTACATCAAATTCTTGTCATTCCTTGGTGATAGGGTACTGATATTCAAACACTATTGGAGTAGACACTGTTTATAGTACAAAACAATTATATAAAAGAAACTAGGAAATGGAATACACATGATTATCAATATTGCCAAATAGTGTAAAACTAATTTGCTAATAGAAACAGCATTATATGAAAGCATTGCTTGGAAAGTTACCAATGAACTCCACACTACAGTATTTCCACACTTCTAATTATTTAATGTATGAATAAATCCTATGATAGAGAAATGTTGAATAAATTATTTAAAAATACTTTAGTGTGCGCTATATGATATACAGCGTGCTTCAATGACCTGGAGAGCTATGCCGTCGGGAGTCTTGTACTCCTGGTAGGGTCACCCAAGGCGGAAAGGTCGACAGGTAGAAGCCAGACGAAGCATAGTCCCCTGGTCCTCCAGGTTGGGGGTTGGGCTATGGGCTGATAACCCATTCCTGTAAAAATGTGATTAAAACAGAAACCAGAAGCCGAACGAATACTACTGAACCTAACAATTTGAATGAAGGCCCTATGTGCCACTTGGCATCTGGAGGATAGGTAACATACGATATACAGCAAAGGATATCAGTATACCATATTTGCTCTATTAGTAATTGTGTTTACGTAAATTATAGAAATATTTTAAGGATTTACTGGTGGTATAAAAGCTTAGCAATTCTTGTTTCATATGTGCTTCTATTGGAGATGCGCTACCAATAGAGCAAATACAGTAGTAGTAATTACCAATAGTCAACAAAGGATATCAATATAGTAGTAGTTATAACTGGTACTATCTATGTGTTAATTTGTGCAAATGAATATTGACCACCAAATAAGATTAATTAGGGATAAACAGACATTTCATCTATCAATATGAATAATTTGGCTAGCTAAAATGAAAGAGGTCCATTTAACAATAATAAGTTTTTCTCAAATCCAAACATTCTACATTGAGAGGTTTGTTTCATACATATTAGGCATATTGTTTGATCAGGAATTTACTTTTTACAAAGTATTGCAATCTCATAAGTACAGAACCCTTATTTAATATTGGGTATTTTCTAATAC